AAAACACACTCCTTCTCGCTGGTCATCGGGCAATGGGAATGTGAGATGCCTCAGGAGACTCTCACACGGAGGGAGGGTGGGGTCAGAACACTTCCTAAATGTGAATACGTAGGTTCCATTCCAAACTCTCATGCAGCCTAGACCTTTCTGGGTATGTCTATTCATTTAAATGATCCAGATTCACATTTTTAAAATACCAAAATAATGGTAATGCGCTGATGAGATACCTGTATCCTAAAAATACCACATGTAAAGAACACGGAAAACTGGCCCAGCCACCAGCAGGACAGGGCTCAGCAGGACAGAGCTGATGTGCAGGGTGAGCATCTCCCCAGAGAAGCTGGCTCCCAGTCAAGAAAGGAGCAGCTCTCGGAGGTAAAGTCTGCAGAGCGAGAAAGCAAGGCCTGAGGACACGGGCAGAGAGAGGCTCAGATTTACAGGGAAGGGCATACGGATATCAAACTAAGATGCCACGGGCACAGCCCAAGATGAAGATGCAGGAAAGGCAGTTCCAGGAGGGGGAGTAACTCCCAGAAGGCTAAGGGAGAAAAGCAAAGAAGGGCCACTGTGCTTGGCATTCGAAGGGTTGAGCCTGGCCCCGAGTCACTGCCTCTCTAAGCAATATTACAGGCCACTTTGGTGGGTCTTCTCATATATTAGCTCACTTACTCTTTGCAACCAGGCATTACTGTGCTTCCTTTGAAGACAAGGAAACGGAGTGGCAGAGAAACTAAGTGTTTGGGAGCTCATCTGTGGCTGGCAAAAAGCAGTCTCGGGGCTGCCGGTACCTTCTAGAAGAGAAGAACTAAAAGCAGTAGGCAGGAACAGCCTGCCATAAGGGCAGGAAACCTCCCCCTTACCCCCCTGGAGCCCGGGACTCCAGAAAAAGACGCCTCTGCGGTGACTGCCTCCAGAAGTCTCCGAACACACCATCACGAAGCTGGGCAAGATCCACCAGGCGCCAGAGCCCTCCCCTGTAAAGGGTCTCTCTGCGGTGACTTTGGGAAGAGCGCACGGAAGAACGGCCCAGCTGGCATGTATGTGTGGTCAGCTGCCCCCGGGATCCCAGGTGCTCGGAACACACAAAGCATCAGCCACAACGACGTCAAAGAATAAGGCCCAGGCCCGCCCTCCGTCAGCGGCAGCTCCAGCAGGATCCCGGACATGGTCCTACCAGTTCGGCTTCATCGGACACCTGGCAGGCCTTCCCACTTCCCCCTCCGCACCAGCTCCGATCCCCCCAGCCCTTGCACACCCCCGGCCCCTCCAAGAAACCCAAGTCCCCTCCACAGGGAGGGTGGTCCCGAGTTCTTGGCGCCCTGCACTTTTGCGGGGCCACCACGTCCCGGGGGAGGGACAACCATGGTGGAGGCGCATCACGCGGCATTTTCAGGGCCTCCTTGCCCGTGCCTGGCCCCTGACCCCAGTGACTCAAATGCAGGAAGCTGGCCAGGACATGGTGGCAAAATCACTCAGAATGGCCTCACAGCTATACCACCAGTACCTTCTGGTGCAACCACCACCCAAGGACTTCAGTCCTGAGGAAACGGCCGGCCCCACCCTCCTCCACTCTACCCCGATTCCTCGGCAGTGAGTCACCGACGCATCACAGATGGGCGCTTGGCTGCACACCAGGTCCACCCAGCAGCATGCGAGGCCTCCTGGAGCATGTTCTGCCGCCACGGCTCCTGCCCAGTGTTCCTCACAGCCCTGGGCTGCCCCCCGTGCCCACAGGAGGGACTCTGGCCCCCATACCGCCACTTTTACCTGCTTTACATACAAGGGCTCATGATAATATTTGGATTAAAAAAAAAAGAGAGAGTCTTATGGCTTTGAAAAGTTTGAAAAGCACTGTTTAAGACAAAATGGGCACATCTAAGTATATGACTAGGTTACCAACTCCCGCTTGATGTAGAACACGCGCCCTCTCTGCTTGGGAAGACTTGATTCCTCTCAGCGCTGACGTGCCCTCCAGTGCCTCGCAGCAGCAGAAGCCCTTCATAAGCCGCTCCCAGGCACGCAGCTGGGGTCTAGCTCCAACAGACCAGACTCCCCACTTCCCTTGCCGCGCATACGGAGACAGCCACTACGGCCCCTCTCCTTCACTCCCTCCAGCTTAGGCCGCTTCCTCAAAAAGTGCTCCTTCTGATTCCTCATGTGTTAAGCAGCCGTGAGCCCCTGGACACAGCTCAGGTCCAGTGCCCTAAAAGGACAGACAAGGCAACAGAGAGGGCAGAAGGGACACCCCCCCCAGCATCACAGCGCCCCCCCTCCATCTAGTCAACAACAGGTGTCTGGCTGGGTGGTTCTGGTGATGAGCTTTAACCCCCAAACTTCTTCAGAGAATGTTCAAAGCTACACACAGGCTGAGAAAATAGTTCAAGGTACCATTATCACAAGTAAGAAAAGTAAGTGTTATTCAATAATATCGAATATGTGGTTCATATTCAAAACTGTACAATTACCCCAATATAACTTTTACAGATTTTTTTTGATCCCAGATCTAACCAAGGTTCGCTCATTATATTTGATGTTAACCCTCCTTATAGTCTCCTTTTGGCCAAATGTTTTTGCAGAATGTCCCACATGTGGGCTTTGTTTCCTTATTATTCGATTTAGTTGAACAAGTTGGCATGAACATCACATAGGTGATATCGGGCACTCCTTGGCTGCATCACTTCGGGAGCCCATAGGTCAGGCTGCCCCCTTCCTGGGAAAGCTAGACTGGAGCTTTGGTTGAAATGCTGGCTGCCAGACTGTACCATTGTACCTGTGGAGCCAGGAGGTAACGTGTGAGGGCATGCTCTGGGAGCGTGTGAAAACACTGTTCCATGATAATCTTCCACCAACTAGCCTTTGCATCCACTGATGAACTGACCTAGGGGTTACAAAATAGAGATTTTCCGAGTTTATCAGCTGAAGTTCTAAAAAGAGCTTGCCCTTTGTAAATCTCTGATGATTACTGTACACTCGTGAATCTTTTTTTTTTTTATTATGCAACATGTCAAAACATATTACTGGCATTACTTTTTTTTTTTTTAAAGATTTTATTATTTATTCATGAGAGACAGAGAGGCAGAGGGAAAAGCAGGTTCCCCACAGAGCAGGGAGCCCGACGCGGGACTCAATCCCAGGACCCCGGGATCACGATCCGAGCCAAAGGCAGACGCCTAACCGACTGAGCCACCCAGGGGCCCCTGTCATTACTTTGATGTTCACATTGTTCTGGTTTTGCCAGTTCAGTGAGACTCCCTTCAAACCGGCTTCTGGGTCCTTTGCTATGACCCCTGCCGTGTGAGTGCCCGCCTCACTCTCCGGCAGGAGACATCCCAGGCTCGCCCTGGACTGGCCTTGCTCCCACGTGAGGCCAGCCATTTTTTTCTGGATCCTTTGGTGGGACTCATCCTCCCTCTTTAAGCAGACAAGCAACTTCACTTTCTCTCAACCTGGTGCTAGTCATTTCCTCATCCCCTGCCCCCTTCCCCCTTCCCCTGTCATTCATCATTTGAATTAGTACACACAGCTCTGTACTTAGTAGGAAGGGGGGGGGAAGGGGCTAAGAGAAGGGGAGGAGAGACAAAGACCAACCCAGTAAATTTAAGGATTTTCTCAACCATGTACCACTCACAGAGGAGCTTCCTTTTTTACAGGTGGCCACGTTAGTGGTCAACTCCGTAGCAAGGCTTGTCATTGTCTCATGATTCCATTCATAAAACTTCTATGATCACATAGCCTATCATTTTACTATTTTATTTTATGCTTACACAAAATATATGCACAAGAACGATTACTACCTACCCCCCGGCACTCGTGTTCCCTTCTCTGGTTTTATTTGTCTCCATCAGCACTTACTACCTTCGAAATTCTATAAAATACAATTTTTTAGGGCTGCCTGGGTGGCTCAGTCGGTTGAACGTCTGCCTTCAACTCAGGTCATGAGCCCAGGGCCCTGGGATCGAGTCCCAGGTTGGGCTCCCTGCTCAGCGGGGAGCCTGCTTCTCCCTCTCCCTCTGCCTGCCGCTCCCCCCTGCTTGTGCTCTCTCGCTCTAATAAATAAATAAAAACTTTAAAAAAATGAAATATTATTTTTTAATTCTCCTTCTGCCCCCGACTAAGAGGTAAGTTCCGTGACTGACAGGCACTTTTTGCTCACTGCTCTGTTCACCTCTGGACTCACCGCGGAGTACTGGTACCCTACACCCAACGCACAGTGCCCGGAATACAGGACGTGTCCCATAACTCTCTGTGGATGAGAAAAATGGCTTGCCCGGGACAAGACACCTAGAGGTGAGCGGCACCTCCTATGCCTCTGCTGGGCCTCCGCTTCAGTGTCACCCCCAGCAGTCAGCTCTTCCCTTCCCCATGTTCCCAGAGCCTCTTGCCCTTCCGGACCCTAACACTTGAACTATCACGCCAACATCGCTCCCCAGTCTGTCCCCCCTGAAAAACTTCGAGCTCCTCTAAGACGAGGACAAGGTCAGATAACTCGCGGCCCAGCACTTAGCACAGAAATCTGCTCCGCCCTTGAGCCCAGTGCCCCTGCCGCGAGTCCGGGCTGCCCGCTGGGCTCGTTCTCTCCAGGCGGCCTTCCCCGTGAGCTGGGCTTCGGCCTCCAGCGGCGGAGACAGGCTCGGCCTCGGGCAGCTCACAGTGGGCCCTGTGACTCCACAGGACTGGGCTCTTTCAGGAAAAGCCCGTTCCCTGCCACGGCACCTGTCACTAAGGCCAACGTCCCTACAGCTTCAGGGCCCCACAGAGCCAGCATTCAGCAAGAAACAAGAGCAGGGCCAGGAGGCCGGCGGAGCCAGCCAGGCAGGGCGGTCGGACTTCTGGGAAGACGGAGGATGCGGTGGCAAGGTCAGGGGGGCCTTTTCATCAGCAGAGTCACTGACAGTCAGACTCTGTGAACAGCCTGCGTAGAGGGCGGGCGGGGGACGGGGTTCAAACGAAAGAGCGCAAAGATGAGAACTTGTCAGAGCTTTGCCTCAGAGACGGCTTACTTGTTCTTTTCTTCCAACCTTCTTTTCACCTGACTCTGAGGTTGGACTCTCGGGGGGTATGGTCAGCCGCAGTCTGCAGACATTTGCCTAGGAGAGACGGAGAGGAGAAGCCAGTTAGGAACCCGCCTTGAAGGCAGAAATATGCTGGGTGAGCTTGTGCTTCCAGAGCCTGTTTCCGCCACTGAGCAATGAGGTGGTCGTACCAACCACACAGGAGACCCTGAGGATAAGACCAGTTTTTGCCCGGCCTGCCATCAGGCACTCACCAACCTGCTCTTCCAAACAAGGACATTAACAAGTAATTTCACAGCAAACATTTTTTTTTTTAATTGGTTCAGGTTCCATAACAGCATGTACAGAATGATCACAGCTCACACACATAGGTCAAATTACACACCGTGGTGTCTGGGCTGCGAAGGTGCTTTCTCTGGGACTATCTGTTGAATCTTTCTCTAACGGACAAGCACACGCATAAGCACAGAGTTTTTTTAAAAAGTCCATACACTCATGTTCACAGCAGCACCATGCACAACACCAAAAGGTGGAAGCAACACCAATGTCCATCACTGGCTGAATGGATAAATAAAATGTGGTATCTACGTAGACTGGAATATTATCCGGCCTTAAAAGGGAAGGAAATTCTGACACATACTGCAACACGGATGAACCTTGAGGACATCATGGTTAGTGAAAGAAGCCAATCATACAAAGACAAATATCGTATGACTCCACTTGTATGAGGTACCTAGAAGAGTCAAATGCATGGGGACAGAGAGCAGAATGGTAATTGCTAGGGGCTGAGGACACAGAGGAATGGAGAGTTATTATTTAACAGATATGGAGTTCCAGTTTGAGAGGATAAAAATAGTCTGGAGATGAATGGTGGTGACGTCTGCCCAACAATGAGAATATAGTTAATGCCACATGATGTCTATTTCACCCTAATGTCACAGCCTGGTCCTGCTGTGACTTCCTAAGGAGAAGTGATTGGGCCACTGGAAAAGGCCAAAGAGGATCCCAGCAGCACGCAGAGTACCCAGCCCACAGCCATGTGGGCCTGACTCATGGGAGTGCTGCTTGTCCCTGTTATGGACTGCATCGTGTCCCCTGAAAATTCCTATGTTGGAGTCTTACCCCCCAGGACCTCAGAATGTGACTGTATTTGGAAACAGACTCTTTACAGAGGTTATTAAGTTGAAATGAGGTCGTTAGGGTGGGCCTAATCCCAAATGACTGATATCCTTATAAAAAGGGGAACCTGAAGACAGACACACATATAGGGAGACCACCATGTGAACATGCTGAAGAGAGAGGCCTAGAACAGGTCACTCCCACACAGGCCTCAAAGGAACCAACCCTGTCAACACCTTGATTTTGGACTTCCAGCTCCAAAACTATGGGATAATAGATGTCTGTTGTTTAAGCTACCTGGTTGGTGGTACTTCTTATAGCAGTCCTAGCAAATTAATATACCCCCAGCCTTGTCTGCAGGGTCATGGGTCCGCACGGGTCCACAGGGCGGCCTCTAAGCAAAACTACCCTGCAGCCTAGACACCCAGAATGGGATGGGATTGTAAAGACCTTTGAAGTCCAACCTGCCAGCCTAGGAAGGAACCCCCACACGCACCCATGTACCTGGCAGGTGGGCGCTGAGACTGAGGATAGCATTTTCCATGAGCAGGTAAGAGTCCATTTGGGACACATGTTAGCACCTCCACACACACTGTCACCTCCCTTCGAGACATCCCATTTTGCTCCCGGGTACCTCCAGCTTCCTGATGATGAACTTACATGTTCCCTCAGAATTCCGACCTAAGGGACCCGGGGTTCCTCTCAGGGACAGCAACAGAATTCCCTTTTCTCTACATTGGCCTCCTTCCCTCTGAAGCCCTTCTCCTCTGGACTTAAAAACCCCAGCTCTTTCAGCTAAATGACTTGGTCTCACAATCATTCTCCATCCTCACTCTCCTCTGGGCAAGCTTCATCCCCCAGGGACCCCAGGGCTCTCACTGTCCCTGATGTGGCCAACTTGGCACCGAAGCTTCAAAGCACACTGCTAGTCATGTTGGCCAAAGACAAACCACCCATTCCAGCTAGGAGGTAGCGCGCTCTTAGCTGACGGCCAAGAGCACTGCTGGGAATCCGAGTTCCTCCAGAGAAAGGCAAACCTCTGACTTGGGGCCACCCGGACTGGTCGAAACCAGCTGGCATTTGCACAAACATCAAAGTGTAACTCACACCAGGTAAGCAACCCAAGTCTGTGACGGTCAATAATCATCTGTGATAGGCTGATCTAGTCCGCAGCATCATTTTGCAGAGAAAAGGAAGTGCTTTTCTCCTGCACCCCATTCCATACACACACGTGTGTACATATACACATGGGTAAATACAAGCACACACTTGTACAAGTGCACACACAAAGGTATCAATGCCTACTGGCTGTGTTGACTATGGGCAAGCTATTCAATCTCTTTGAATCTCAAGTGTAAACGCAGATTAAAGGAAGTCTGGCACACAGTAAGCCTCTAACGGTATGAGAGATTTGTATTGTTACTGAGATGCGATCATCATCCTATAAGCTCCAAAATGAAACAGGCCCAACTTGGCTTTATGGTTCTGCTTTCCATGATAACTACCATTTGGTCAACGGATCTATTGTAAGTGATACCTTTTGGTATGGTAATTGGTCCCTAATGGCAGGAAATTTCAGAATAAACTAAAGACTGAAGAGGACACAAGGCCCAGAAGGGACCCCACTGGTCCAATCACCCTAAAGTGCAATGCTCCCTTCCCCTGTTTGAGACAATTCTTGATCTGTCCGCCCAGAACTCTGATACTCCTCAGCATACTTCCTGCAGCACTCCACACTGAGCCAACCGTACCCTGGGGGATGACAAAGCCCCAGGATAAATACAATGTATTTCCCCTAAACCATTAGTTTTACCTGGTGATAGATAATGAATGAACATAAAACGAACCTGTAAAATCACACATTTGACCTCAAAGCTATCCGGCAACTGCAGCAGGTTCTAAACACCCAGGCCCCTGTGTTAAATGATTACTCTTGTCCTTAGAGGTGCTTTAAGGCATGGGCTCCTCTCATCAGTGCTGGCCCGCTGAAGGACGGACTACACACAGTTTAAAACCCAGCTTGGAAGAGGGTCAGACACCTTCCTGATAAGATGGCCAAATGTGTTGTCGTGTGAAAAAAAAGAAAATTGCAAGAAAAAAGTGACTAATAATCCCATTTTTGTTTTTTAAATGCACTCTAATAATCTACATAGATTGATGGAAAAAATTGTCTTGAAGGAAACACAACCAACTGATGGTGGTGATGGTTACCTCTGTATGGTGGGATTCCCACATTGTTTCCAACTGTTCCAAGTATGTGTCAGTTTTTTTCATTAAAAATAATGGCAGTAATAGCAGTAATAAAGATTGAGAGACAATGTATTCAAAAGAGAGAGACAGATCAAGCTTTCCTAGATCCACAGGACTGCCTCAGGAGCAGCAAAGAGAACAACCCAGAGGTCTAGAAAATATCCTGAATTCCTCAACAGAAGCACTAAGTAACCCTTGAAGGTACCCACTAGGTTGACCTGGTATAGTTTACCTCCTTTAATTCATTCACTTTCAGGTAATCTCCCCGTGGGAAATTTTCCCACTGAGTAAGATCAAGGCACAGTTGCTTATCTCTCTGAGCATTTTATGATGCTGATCTCCACGGCTTCCTTAAACTCTAATACACAATACCCAGAGCAGCCCAGGCTGGGCAGTACCGGAGGAAGGTAGGGTACTTTATTCCCAGGGACTCCCACAGCACCTGGCTCAGCCCTGTGTTCTGAACAATGAGAAGAACTGAATCTTATTTACCCTGAACACCACAGCTATTGGATTAGCTGTCCCTCCAAGCAAGGGTCCCTTCCACTGGATCGAAAGCAGGAAGGTGGACTCAGTGTATTTGATCATTAGGTTATGGAGCACCCACTACTTATAAAATACTTTTAAGGGCAATGAGGGTACCAAGATGAAAAAGAAATAGCCATGTTCCCAAGAGCTCAGCATCCAAAAACACACCCAAACAAGGCGAATAAGAACACTTAGTGTAACCAACACAGGGTAGCTTCGTGGTTAAGGCTTGGTGGAACTGCACTTCCTTATAAAGGGGTAGGAATATAAAAGGAACCACAGTCTTAACTGGAGGTGGGAGTTTATCAAAGGCTCCTAGAGATGACACTTGAGCTGGGTATAGAAAGACAAAAAGTCCAAAAGGACTTTGTGGTTCATTGAGGTTTGGAGAATCCATCATCACAACAGCAAACAACTACCAGGCCAGGCATTTGCTCCAGGCTGTGGCCAAAGGCTCAGATGTGAGAACGTTCTGAGAACAGTAAGTGGGCCTATAGCGTACACTAGAGTGGGGCAGGAAAACGGACAGACAGGTAGAGGCCAAACTCTAACAAGCTACAAAGGCCTGATGGAGAAGCAAGGTCTCTAGTGGAAGACAATCAGGAGTCATTCACCTCTTTGGAGGAAGGGACTAACACTCAAAATCTGAGTTCAGTGATTCAACAGCAATTCATCAGTACCTCCTATTATATTCCATGCATTACAACATGGATGGAAGGGGGGAAAATATGGGGAGAGATCAAGCAAGCTTTGTGCTTTAATTGCTTTTGCTGCCCTTATAGGGCTTAGCATAGTATCAACACATAATAAGCGCTTGCTCAGTAAATTAAATGTCAGTATGAGTTTCTTTTTAGGTTGAACTAAAACACAGTAAGGCGAATATACCTGAAACTCCCCAGAGAGCCTTCTACTTTCTTCAAACCAACCCCTCCTGGGAGGGACATCAAGGGAGGGGCAGATAGTATTCAAGCCTCCTCCACAAGAAAATACACAACCAAGCCCTTGTCTGCAACTCAGGGCACCTGGGAGCTGGGCAGGTCCTCTGGGGCCTTGTTTCTGACCCCCGCATTGTGGAGGCAGAAGGCAGGTCTCCATCTATGGGAGAAACTGGGGAGCCACATACCATCATGCTCTTAGCTTTAGCACATGAGCTCACCCAAGAGAAAACTATCATCAAA